GAAAATACAAAGGGTTTCTTAGCATTAAAATCTCCTGACTTTGTGAGTCTGACTCATGGTCTGAGTGCTCGGAGCTGCCTCCCATTGAGGGACTGGGCAGGCCTGGATTTCCCTGGGCTGACTCTCCCTCCCTCTCCTTCCCACACCACCCTCCCCTCTGGCTCCTGGCTTTCAGCGTGGAGCTTGGCTGGGCTCTTGGCTGGGAAGTGCAATGCAGTCCGCTCCACAAAGCCGCACTGTTCAGAACAAATCTGCCTAGATAGGGCTGCATTTTTGTCAAGTGATTCATCAGCACGTGAATGGAAAAGGCCGGAGCCCACCGAACCAGGAGCCGTTTTCCCGCCCACAGCCGCTAAGCCAATGTCACTTCCCGCCCTCCCAGGCCAAAGGCAGGAGCCACCGGCAGCAGCTGCTCTGTTTGCTACCCTACCCGAAGCAAAGCTGGAGAGGCTTGTCCTCCCTGCGTTGCTTCCTGGGGCAGCTGGGGGTCCAGGCAGGAGCTGGGCAGTGGCTCACGGGAACACCTCTATTTCAGAGCCATTCCCAGGAGCCCCTTGATGTGACTTGGGGGTGCCAAGAGGGGCTGGACGATCAGTGGGGGCAGGGAGTGGCAGTAGGGCAAACAGCCGGCATAGGCCTTGGCCCCTACACCAACAGTTCCTGTCCCATCCAGCTCGGAGTCATGAGCGGCTCCAGCTGGTGAACCCCTCACTCCTTGGGCACCAACCGTGCCGTGAGCACTGGGCATGGCTGCGGATCGCTGCATTGGGCATGGCCTTGATGCTTCTGTCTGGTAACTAGGACCACGCTGCCCACACCATCAGCTGCTCCCGGCCCCAGCGCTGCAGTGCCAAGAGCTGGTCAGGGTGGTGTTCTGCCCGGGGAAGGGGGAAGAGCAAACAGCAGACGGGAGGAACCTAGACCAGTAGCTGCTCTTCCTGCCAAAGGCCCGACTGCATGGCTTGTGTCCCGGGCTCGGCACAGCCTTTCCCAGAGCAGCAGTGGAGGGGAGCTGAGTTGGAGTCTGCCCCGTGGGGCCTGTAGCTGGGTTCAGGGCTGGTTAGAGTCCCGATCTGCGCTCAGTAGAGGCACAAGGAGCTGGAGTCGAGTACATGGAGGGGAGCTGGGCTTGGCATCCGCAATGGGGTGGGAGGCAGAGCCAGAGTCTGTGCTATGTGTGGAGGGAGCACTGGGGCTGGGAGCTGGCTAGGTTTGGGGTTAAATTCCCTGGGCAGGGCAGCAGCTGTGAACTTAAACTTGGTGCCCCATGTGGCTCCTCAGGCCCAGTGAGAGCTGTCTGTGCTGGCCAGGGCTCCTGTCGGAATTCCTTAGCCCTGGAGTGGGGCCCGCAAGCTGCCCCCCCAGTCCGAACCCCTGGGGTTTTACAGACCCCGACGAAGGACTGATACTGGCACTGGTTAATTACTGTGGACCCTTCCTGCTCTAGCACCTGGGAGTCCCAGCCAGGCCCGGGCCCAGGAGTGCTGTGCAGATCCCAGCCCCAGGCCCGGGCCCAGGAGTGCTGTGCAGATCCCAGCCCCAGGCCTCGTCTACACTAGGACTTGAGGGGAACGTTTGTCCATGTTCGAATAGGCCAGTGTGGATGAGGCCCCCGGCCGTTAGCATGGCCCAGGTTGGTGGAGGTAAAGCCCAAGGGGCCCTAGAGGGAGCCTGGGCTGTAACTCGACCCGTTGGGTGCCGGTGAAAGCCTGCACTGCCCTGTGTGAGCCGCACTCCCTACACGCAGTGGCTCCAGGGCACAGCTGCTGGTGGCCCCCCCAGGGCTCAGCCCTAGCTCCGGGGCTGTCACAGAACAGCGGGGCTTTGAGGGGGTCATACAGGGATGCTCGGGACACACTGTGAATGCTGGGGAGCGTCTTGATGGGTGTCAGCTCGCCCGAGATAACGGTCGGTTAACTCGAGTTCTCAGCAGGCCACAAACCCTCCTGCAGGTGATCTCTGCAGTGATCGGGGGTCCCGTGCCAATACCCTGCAGTGGCCAGTGGCCTGTTCCCTCTCGCGCTTGCAGTGCAGCAGCGTGCTGCTCTGGGCCATGGGAGGCCGTCTGCGTGCTGCCCTTGCCTGGGCTCTTGGAACCAGCTGGATTCTGTCCTGCCCTGTGCGTTACCAAGAGACCGGTCAGCTTGGCCTCAAGGGCAGGGCCTTGTCTGAGGCAGAGGGGCCGTGGCTGGCTGGCGGAGCCTGGCTTCCTGCAGCTGGGTTCTCTTGCTGCTTGGGCGTCCCCTGGATCCTGCACCGGGAGAACTGGCCTCTGGGGAATGAGCGCCTGCCCTGTGCGTGGTTCTGGCATCCTCAGCGGGGAGCGGGGCAGATCACGGAGCCCCACGGCTCTAGCTGTCACTGGATCGCATCCCCCCGGACCAGCAGAATGGACCGGGTTTAACCCCTGCCCCTCCACCGCTCTCTGCCCACCACCTGTTCTGGCTGTTCACCTCCCCCAGGCCCTGCCCTGCGCTGTCAGCAGCTGGCATCAGCCTAAATCCAGGCTTGGAACCTGAACCTGCAAAGGTCTCGCCCGGCCAGCGGGGCAGCCGTGCTGCCAGGTGAGCTGCTCTCAGGGCAAGTTCTGCCCAGTGCGGCAGAGCAGCGGGAGGCAAGGACCCTGTCCTGGGGAGGGGACACCGCAGGAAACCACTCTAGGCAGCGGTGGGAAGCCAGGCTCCTGAACCTGCCTTTGGGAAGGTAGTGGCCCTGCCCCTCCAAACTGGCCACGCCTCGCCTCAGTTTGCCCCTCTCCGTCCTGCATGGAGGGCACTGCCCGCCTTTCACTCTGCTGTGAGAACAAGCCCTTCTCTTGGGGGTGGTGAGGCCTTGGCCGGTGCCTTCTGCCTCGCAATGGAAGCGGCGCTGTGCAGCACTTGCTCCCCGCTCTGCGGGAAAAGCCTCTCCGGGTGCAGATCATTAGGCTGGGGCTCCTGGGCAGGTGGAGGTGGGTGCCAGCAGGGGAGAGCCAGGGGAGGATGGGCTCCTCAGCGCAGGCCTTGCGGTGTACGCAGGGGAGTGGCATCACCACAGGAAAGCTGCCAGCTCTGGGGTGGGGCCCTCCCCCCATCAGTTGTGCCCACACATGGGCCCTTGTTCCTGACACTCACTCGTGTTGCAAAGCGATGAGGCTGCATTGGGTGGAGGGGCACAAGGATGCGGAGCAGCTGATGCCACAGGGAGCCGGGGGAGGCCGCGGGTCCAGGACCCAGGGTTGGAGCCTGCAGGTCTGTGGTGTTTGGCCAGGCCCGTTCCTACCTGGCTGTTTTTCCAGAGCCCCAGCCCTTGTTTCCCATGAGTCCTGCTGTGACTAGAGGGGTTGTTTTTCCAGGCGTCTTGGGGAGGAAGTGACATCATGTGGTTCGCGCTGCTTTCGGCCTGGAGGGAGGATGCGGTTCCTCGTGCTTTGAGTTGCGTGGCCGCCCGGCATTCCAGCAGCCGACATCTGGCAGGAGGCTCCTCAGCCAGCGCGTCCCCTTGATCTCGGACACAGATGCTGGTTTAAGAGCGGCTGCTAGGGGCAGCACAACTAACAGCTCAGGGGCAAGGCCAGGCTGTGCAGTTCGGGCGGGCTGTCAGTCCGGAGCGGGGCTCTGTTCACACCAGGGCTGCTGCTCCTAAAAACCTCCCCACTCCATGTGCCATCTCTAGTGGCCTCATGGAGTTACCCTCCCTTCTCCTCCCCATCCTGCCTCTGAGCTATGCTCCTCGCTCTCTGCGCAAGGTCCATTTGGGCTGAGGGATCCCGGGCTGTACACTCCGCTTGATGGCAAGTAGCTGTGCGTCTGTAACATGACGCGGCACCCGATCGATTCCAACATTTCAGGGAATGGTCTAGTCACCAGTGGGCAGAACCTCATGGATTTTGTGGAAAATTAGTGAACCAGAAGCAAGAAACTGAGGACCTCTGTTGACAAATGAAGAAGAGCCCCTCTCCTTCTCCTGCATGTGCCTTCCCTTCTGTCTCCAGCCTGCTCTCCTTTATCCTCATCCTCCCCTGCTGCTCCTGGTGCTTTTCTCCGAGCTCAGCATTCCCTCAGTGCTGCTTGTCCAGCTAGTCTGATGCTGCTTATTCAGCTCTTTGCCCAGCTTCTAGAGCCAGGCAGAGATGGGGAGCAAGGAGACTGCGATCAAAGCAATGTCTACGCAGCTGTGTGCAGGAGTCCCTAGAGAGGTAGCAGCCTGTGCTGAGCAGTCCCTGGAAGCTGCTCTTGCTCTGGGCTGCGTGATTGTGTTTCCCCTGCTGTGTGGAGTCTCAACACTGCCTTTTGCATTTAATATAAGGCCTTTGAAAGGAAAAGAAAGATGTGGAGCTCTCCAGTCTGCAGAGTTTGCAGGCTCGGCCAACTTTGTCAGCAGACCTAAGCTCCCTGCTGTGAAGGACTTTACCTCCCCTCCTCCCTCCCCCCATGGGTGGGCCCTCACCCTGCAGTGGGACCTTACCTGTGCAGGAATCTGTGCGCACATGAGGGTCACTCCACCCAGATCCATTTGCAGGATTGGGGCCTTACAGCTGTGCACACACTGGAAGCAGCTGTGTATAAGGGTGAGCCTTGGCATGCCATGACGGTCCCGTGGCACATGCCCAGCACACACTTTTCACACGCTTCTCTGTAAATCCAGACCATTTTCTTCCCAGGCTGACCCTGGTGCTAATGGCTTGTTACCTCCAGACCAGGCTTCAGGCATTTTGCTGCGGCTGTTGTCAAAGGATGGTTAGAATGGGCTGCAGTGGAAAGACTCGCTCACCCAGAGGTCAGACGTTGCAAAGGGGATTTCAGTCATTAGGATCACTCTGTTAGCACAAGCTAGATGCTCCACAAACAGGAAGAGCCAATCCCTGCCTGGGAGCTATGAGAGACCAAACCTACAGGTGACCAGCTTGGCAAGGCTGAGGCTGTGGGACTGGCCTTGCATCTGAGCCTGTTTTGCTGCTGGGGAATGGAGGCTGTTCCTGGGTCTCTCCCACTCATGCCCATCCTATCTGTTTGTTGCAGTGATCAGAGCAAAGGCTGTCTCCGGAAAAGAGGTGGATTCTGGGAATGATGTTTATGGGAATCCGATCAAACGGATCCAGTATGAGATCAAGCAGATAAAGGTAAGGATCCCAGCCTGGGGTAGTCTGGCTCTGGGGGGAGCCGGTGGGAAGAGGGTGCTAGGGAATCGCAGCATGTGCAGGAATGAGAACAGGGTCAGGGGGTCCCCACAGCAAACCCACCCTCGGATCCCATCTCCGTGGGCTGCAAGTGCTGAGCTCCCACAGCCGTGACCCGTCCATGTCACCCAGTACTGCAAGAGATCGGCTTCCTCACCCCTTGCCATGCACGTGCTCCCGGCCCCATCTCCCACAGCGTGTGTGGAGCTGAGCGTGGCCACCTGTCTGACCGCGGTCTCTCTCTCTCGCTAGATGTTTAAAGGACCTGACAAGGACATAGAGTTAATTTACACAGCTCCTTCCTCGGCTGTGTGCGGGGTGTCACTGGACACTGGAGGGAAGAAGGAATATCTCATTGCAGGTAGGAAGTGAATTGCCGGAGGAGCTGGCATGGCCCCCGGTGCTGTCTCCGGGGCGGGAGGAGCTGGCGTGGGCCCTGGGGCTGAAACCGAAGCAGGACACTGGGGCACTTCAAAGGCTCTCTCGACCTGAGTCAGTGTAGGCAGGAGGAGGCAGGCAAAGGGACAGGGACCCATGTAGGGAGGTTTCCTGGAGCTGTGGGAATCGCTCAGGGAAAGGCCGTGAAACTGGATTCTACTCCAGCTAAAGGGCTTGCTCTCTGCTGTGGCCATGGGACCTCCGGAGCGGTCAGGATTGCAGCACTGCCCATAGGGTTCCCCCTGCCCTCCCCCGGCCACAAGGCCCTGCGCTGGACCCCCAGCGGCCTTAGTGCCGTTCTGATCCTGGCCAGAACTGGGGCAGTGAGAAGGGCATGCATGGGGCTCCCATCCTGGCCACAGGGCCCTGCCACGTGACTGCGGGCTGGCCTGGCCTGCTTCTCATTTAAACCCTCTGCCCCTGCCCATCCAGGGTCCCTGATCATCTGGGCCCCTTCTGGCACCATCTAGTGGCTCCTAGGGAAATAACAGCCAATAAAGCCGGTAGCGTTTCCTGACCAGTGTGCAAGCTGGTGCTTAGGCCGTGCTGGCTTGGGGGTGATGACCATGTTCCGAGCACAGGGTCAGCTGCCAGGAGCACTCACCCCAGCTCGGATATTGGCGGCTGCTGCGCCCTGGGCCTTGTGTCGGCCTCGGCTTCCCTGTCTGTGCAATGGGATGATGCTCCTGTCCTGCCGAACCCACAGGAGCATTTGAAGCTGCAGCCCTCGGTCCCAGTGGCAGGAGCACGGGAGTCTCCCTCTGTGTCCGTTTCCATGTCCGGCACTTGCCCAATGGCACTAATGGATAAGGGCACCGTGCCCCTGGGGCCAGAGAAAAGTCTGGCTGCAGTGTGAGTGCGATCGCACATGCCTTCACCCAGGTGTTTCTCCTGAACTCTCTGAGCTCTGCTGGATCTATCTCTTGGTCCATTCTCCTGGCCGCTCCACTCCCTGTGGGCCCCAGTGTCTGGTGCTGCTGGAGTGTCTGGTTCTAGGTGTGACGTCCATCTCCTCCTCTCCCCGGATGGGGGCTGTCAGAGAGTGTCCTGCTCTGTAGTCTCTTGCTTGTCCTGGGATATGCTTGCTCAGAACACAGGCCCTAGAGTGGGGCAAATTCTCAACAAGCCCTAAATAAAGTCCTCCGGATCCATGCAGACAGCAGGGGAGGCCCTGAGCCTAGAGGCTGGTTGGACTGCCTCGCCAGGACTCTGGACAGCCCCCTCTGCATCGCTGCCTGCGGAGTGGCCCCTTGCTTGTGACATCACAAGCATTGTGATCTCTCCAGTGGGGATGGCCACCTTTCCAGGGACGCCCAGCTCATCTTTCCCTTTGGAGCCTCCTGGAAAACCTGGCCGAGCAAGCAGCTGGGGCGTGTGCCAGGGCAGCTTCCTTCTGTCTTTGTTTGCAGAGCAGAACCAAGCGGACAGAAGGTGCTGATCTGAGGCAGGAGAGCTGACCCAGTTAATAAAATAAATTAATAAAAAATGGAGATATACTTATCTCATAGAACTGGAAGGGACTGGTCATCAAGTCCCAGTACTCTGCCTTCACAGCAGGACAAACTACTGTCCCTTATTTTTACCCCAAAGGGCCCCCTCAAGGATTGAACCCACAACCCTGGGTTTAGTAGGCCAATGCTCAAACCCCTGAGCTATCCCTCCTCAAGAGAGACTCCTGGGGTTTGAATTAGTCCTGCCCAGAAAGCCCTTGGGTCCTGATTTTCACCACAGTTCCCTGGCAAACACTCAGGCCACTGCCACCTGGCACTGAGGCCTTGAGGCTCTGGGGAAAGCGTGCCAGGAATTGTGCCTGCTGTGGAACATTACCCCAGGTACTTGGGCAACTCCTGGGGCTTTTTAGAGCAAATTCTCTATGCGTGGTCTCGGGGGCTGGGAGGGAATCCGCTGCCTCGCACCCGCACTGCGTGGCTCTATGTCAAAGCGACGTTCTGCTTCTCCCGGGCTCCTTGATTTGTCAGTCTTCCCCTTCCCCTCTTCTCACGTCTCCAGTGTGCTGCTTGTGACATGGCAGTGTTTAACTGCATTAGCCAAGAGGGATGGTGCCCCAAGGAGGGGATTGATGTGTGCTCCAGGCACAGTATGTCCCTAGAGCCCCCCGGAGGGGCGGGCTGCTCGCCTAGGGCTCGTGCTGTTCAAACTCCCTCGAGGTCCTGATGGGACGTGTGTCTCTAGAAAGATTAAAGCACTGTGTGGCCTTTCCGCAGGCAAGTCCGAAGGCAATGGCAAGATGCACATCACACTGTGCGACTTCATCGTCCCTTGGGACTCCCTGAGTGCCACCCAGAAGAAGAGTCTGAACCAGCGGTACCAGATGGGCTGCGAGTGCAAGGTAGGTAGAGTGGGAGCGCTCATGCCCGGAGCCTGCCATTCAGCGTGGTGCTCTGAGGTTTCTGGGCTCCTTGCTCACAGCCATTGGAAGCCTTGGTGTCGAGTGACCTTGGCTGGATTCAGTGCTGCAACTCAGGAAAGCACTTGCTGAAGTGAATGGCAGAGATGCTTTCCTGAATCGAGGCCTGGGTTTGCATCTGAAGGGGGATCAGTGCATTGCTGGGGCAGTTGTCTCCCCTAGCATGGGTAAGAGTCTTGAGGGCAGCATAAACCCAGTGATTTTTGTCTGGAATGGCCAATGAGGGGCACTTCTAGCAAGGACATGAGGCATCCCAGAGAGGCAGACAGTGGGCTGTCTAGGAGTGATGATCACCTGGCCTGTTGTTCTCCTTTTGCAGTACTGCCCACAGGCCCCTACTCAGAATCTGGCCCTCCACAGCCACCTAGGGAGATACTATCCCTGCCTTGAAAAGTTTACTACATAACTGGGGCTGTTTTCTGTCCCTTATCCCCATGGGATCTAAGCATCCCACATGCCCTCACAACACCCTGCTAGGGATGAAAGAACTAACATCCCCATTTCACAGCCGGGAAGTTGAGGGGAAGTGAGTTGCTGAAGGTCACTAGGGAGTCTATGGCAAAGGTGGGGTCAGACCCCAGTTTTTGGGAATCCCAGAGCTGTTCCCACAAGCCCAGCCTCCCCTCCTGGCTTTTCCCCATTCTCCTCATCTCTCTCCATCCCCTCATGTCAGCTGTCTGCTCAGAATGCTGCCCTCTTCTCCCTGGACTCTCCGTGGCCAGGCTTCTCCCACGCACCCACCCTCGCCCAGCCCCCACATCTCCTGCTGTCTGTAACTTGTCTGGAGGCTTATATTTGCATGTATCAGTTGCAGTCAGATGTGGAGTATTTGTCTAAAGGATGTAATCTAAACCCACCTTGCATCATACGGTGTGGAGATGAACTGCTGGCCTCATTCCTCAGACATGCCAACATTGGGATGGTTTGCAGAGCTAGACTGTCCTGATTCCTCTGTTAGAGAGACTTCTTTGCTCTGCATGTAGCTCTGTCCAGGCAAAGATCCCACGTTTGGCTTCAGCACTGGGAAATTCCTCTTATTTAAGGTGAAGACCCAATTCTGCATCTTAAAAGGAGCCATGTGTCCAGTGGCTGGAACAAAGGGCCTGGAACATCTTGAGCCCAGATCCCAGACAGGCCTCTGCCTCACTTATGTGACCCTGAGAAACTCGCTCGGACTTTCCTGTGGCATAGTCACCATCCCTGGGGTTTTGGGTAAAAGCGCAGATGTTTCGGGAGAGAAGCGACCCATTCTATTCATGTTAGGCAAAACTTTCTCACTGTCAGGAGAGCTAAGCACTGGAACAGGCTAGAGAGCTGTGGAGTCCCCCTCACTAGAGGTTTTCAATAACAGGTTGGACAAACTTCTGTCAAGGACTGGATGAGGTGCTTGGTGTTCAGCAGGATCCATCCCAGGTCTGACTCCAGTAGAACTGCACCAGGACTGAACTGTCCTTCACAGATGCTTAGACCAAGGCACAGCCGCTGCCCTGAAGAGTTTGCAGGCTAGGTGGACAAGGGGTGCAGTGGAAACAAGTGACAGTTGGGGACAGATAAGACAGTGGCCTTAGAGCCAGCCCTTTCTCCTCATGTGCTGTGTTAACAGTGCTTGGAGAGGGGACTAGGGCCTCTAGAGTGGGTGGGAAAAGGAGGGCTTTGAAGGGGTAGGGGGACATTTGCCCCATCTTTGAACCCCAGAACTTCAGAATGTTGCTTTCCTTGGCTCAGGGTCTCTCTCCATCCCCCAGCCCAGAGTGACAGAGGTGGGAGATGGAAGAGGCATGGCAGGTCCCTCTCTCCCCCAGACAGAGCATCAGTGTTGCTCAGCAATGGTCTCTGTTCTGACCTAGATCTCCCGCTGCCCCTCCATTCCGTGCTTCGTCTCGTCTTCGGATGAATGTCTCTGGACAGACTGGGTGACGGAGAAGAACATCAACGGGCGACAGGCTAAGCATTACGCCTGCATCAAGAGGAGCGACGGCTCGTGCGCATGGTACCGTGGCATGGCCCCACCCAAGCAAGAGTTTCTCGACATCGAGGACCCCTAAGCTGAATAGCTGCATTCCAGTACCCAATAGAAAGGCCTGCAGGAAATTAGACTGGTCCACCTCTGACATCACTTCCTGGAAACAGCATGAAAATTCAGTATCCCAAGTGGGTCCCAATCGGGGAGATTAAATGCCACGTGCTTCCAAAGCGGGGTGAGGGGCCACACCATTGTATTTAGTCCCCAGCTGTGCTTTCCCGTTCCTTCCTTTCACAGGTGCAGTGGGGCGAGGGATGGCTTCATACTGTTCAGGGGAGAATCCTGAACCAGCCGGACTTTGATCCACAAGATCCCAGTGCTGTTCTGGAGGAAACCAGAATGCTGGAGGGTTGATGTCTCTCACTCTGTGTAGCAGGCCTACCAGGTTCCCCTCACCTGGGGCGGGAGTGTCCCTTGCTTTGGGTAGCTCCTGCCCCTCGATCCCCCAGCACATTGGTGTCTCTTTTCAAACAGGCTTCTCCACTGCCAGCAGATACACCAGCATTCCTCAAATCTCCTTTGTGAGCCCTCTAGTCCTACTGCCCCCCTTGTCACACGCACCCCCACCTCTTGGGCTAGAAGGGAGAGCCCGTGAAAGGTAGCACTGGCTGAGAGTCCCAGCTGGACCGCAGGCACCAGGAAAGGATTTGGCTCTAGCGAAGTCTCCTTAGCCCTTTGTCAAGTAAGATAAAGGCCCGTTGCACTGACACAGTGTCCCTGTGATCCCCAGCATCAGCAGAACCATCTTTTGAGGGGGACCAGAGAGTCGCCTTCTCACTCATTTGCAAGCACTGTTGTTATTTCATGCTTCCCTCCAAGTCAGTGGGTGCTGAGGCTGGACCTCTGGGGTGGTGCCTGTGTGAGACCCCTGTAGGCTTTGGTCCTGTGCCTTCATCCTGGCAGTTTAGTAAAGAAAGTCAGTCCCCTGGTGGGTATGTGTGTTCCCTGCTGTGTGTAGCTGCTGGATTTGTGTCCGAGTGCATGCTTGTGCCGTCAGCATAGTGCTAATGCCAAGTTCCAGGTTAGGGGAAGGGTTTAGCCTGTCGGACTATGCAAGCAGCAGAGGTATTATTGTGAATTCATCGCTCAGCAGGACAATGCACTGAGAGTGCTCTAGCCCCACAGACAGTGGCATGCTGACAATGACCCAGAGCAGCTTCCCTTGCCGAGAGCCTCTATTCCCAGCAAATGGTGTGAATGCAGGAGCTGGCAAATGGAAGCTTATTCCAAGTGTTCTGCCGAGAAACACAGCGCAGTGAGAGAGACCCCACCAGGAGGCGGTATTTTTATACCCACTGACGGCTGTTTGCTGATCTCAGCTGTGAGGCTCTGACGGCGAGCTGTAATAAAAGTAAAGCTTTTCAGACCCTCTTCTCCTACGCAGTGAGGGTGCACCCGCGCGCACACACACAACAAACCTGGCCTCTGGCTGCCTACAACCGAAGGCCCCACATCCTTCTGTGAAACCCGCCCAGCCAGCCTCAACCCCATTCTTCTTCGGAGCCCGTTCCATTTTGCTGAGGCACTAGAGAGCGCTGCAGAGCTAGCCCACCTGGAACGCAGACAGCACAGACCTTTGTGAGAGAAAATCCGGATCTCCTGGCTAGAGCAGGTTTGGGCATGTCCTGAAATTATCCCTGCAGACCAGCTTCAGGGGCATTTTCATGCTGTGCATCGGTGTAAGATTTTAATGATGTCATATTGGACCAGTCTGGGTGACTTCAATATATAAAAATGAAGAGGGGAAAAAAACTAATCAATTCAATATAAGACTCCTGTTTGCTTACTGTATGGTTATATCATAGGTGACATTTACTCCTGTCTCTGCTCTATCTTTGATTTTAAGGTTTCAGTTCGTTTTGGCATCCGCTGTATCATTCCTGTGCTGTAACTTTTTAATTTCCTTGTTAGCTATTAGAACTGCACTTACTTTTTTTAAAAGCATTTCTGCATTGGAAGCATTCAACATGAAGTGGGAAGAGTGTCGAGAAAGTCTGTGGAGGGTTGAGTCCTCCAGATTTTTCTGTTTGTTATTTTCCCTCCTCCCTATCCCCCTCTTCTGCAAAGTGCACAAGTCTTCAGAAGTTGGATTTGAAGATGGGATGTACCATACATGTGCCTCTTTCTAGTTTGTCTCCAAGGCCTTGCTGAACAACAATATCACGACTGTCGGCAAGCACGATAGGTGAGCCTCACACAAAATAACTGCAAAAATCTCTTTCTATATGTCAGGTATATGAAGGATGCTTGATTGGCTTTTTTAATTTATGTCTTCTGTTCTCGGTTCCATTCTCTGCCCTTCCTTCCTAGCTCCAGTCTCCTCCTCCATGCAAGCAATTTAAAATATTTAAAAAAATAAAAAGTTTACATTATAGTTATTTTCAAATCTTTGCTTGATAAGTATTAAAAATAAGGAGTATCTAACTTGCTGCCATAATTTAAAGCTTTTGGGTGGGGTTTTTGTTTGGGTTTTTTTGGAGCAATATGTTTTTGCTGGAATCTGAAGTCTGAGACCTTCTTGTGCTGGAAACACATGAAAGTTGTTGAATAATGACAAGCAGACTGTGCATGTCTCTGACGCTTTGTATAATTCATATGTGGACGTTCAGTCTTTGGACAATAAACAGTATTCTAAAAAATTAGATAATTTTCTTCTTACTGAATTCACCGTACATCTATAGTGCTGTATAAATAAGTAATAAGCATAATTCTGGACGCGAGACAGGCACACCAGTCCGCTGGTGCGTATGAAGACAGCCTGTGGGGTGGGTGTGTAATCTGCTCATCCGTGGGGGGCATACGGCACGGACGTTCCCCCCACTTCCCTCAACGCTGTAGTTCTGCTGGAAAGGTTCCTTATGACAGAAGCTGGTCCACTGCATCAGCCTTCTTCATATAGAGCAATTTTGGGAAATGCAGCCACAGGAGAGATCCACTGGAGAGAACAGCCCCTGCCTTGCTGCTGTTATAATCACCGTGTTTGAGAAAACCCACAGCAACTGTAAAACCATCCCTAACCCCTATGCTCTGTTCCTGCTTGCCCCAAACATGGCTAGGGGCTGACCCGGTAAAGCTGCTCCCCAAAGCAAGCCGTGCTACCCCATTACTACTAATCGTATGGATTTCGCCTTGGCAGAATTCCATTTTTATTTTTGTAATTTCAATGGATAATATCAGTGTTTGTTTTTAAGCTCCCCCCCCCCATTTTTATTGATTTAAATAAATAGTTGCAGGAAATTATGGGGGGGAGAGGGTCAGACAATAATGCCAGCAGACCAGTGGTTTTCAACGTTTCTTCATTTGTGGACCCCTAAAAAATTTAAAATGGAGGTGCAGACCCCTTTAGAGAGCTGACATAGTCTGCAGACCCCCAGGGGACCGTGGAGCACAGGTTGAAAACCACTGAGATGCAAAAAAGTTAAAGTTTCATAACCATTAAAACACATCACATGTGAAAACAGACACAGTCAATACCCTTCAATCAAACCCCAGTAAGTTCTCAAGCAGCATTTTTCTTAGTTTGCCTATTTGAAAATTTCAATTGTTAGCGAGTTTTTTTTTCCCCCCATCGCTTTGTGTCTGCAGTGAAATCAACACGTACCCACGCTTTCCGATAAAACCCGGATTCTTCCACACCTGTTTGTATGACAGCCAAGACTAGGGCCCCCCTTTGCTACCAACGCAGAGTAAAAGACACTCCAGCCACAAAGGGGGTGTAGTCTAAATAGACAAGACTGACAAAGGAGGGAGAGGGAAAACAGGCGCAGAGAAATGTGGTGAGTCGCCCAGGGTTGCTTGTCTCCCAAGTCCACAGTGTAACATCACTAATCTTGCTAAACACACTTCACTTATCCCCATTCTATGATGACAGGTGACCCCCCCCCCTTTTTTTTTTTACCATATTGAAGCTGGATACATCTGTTGTGAGCAGCAGCAAATCTGTCAGCAACTCTCTTCAGAATAAGACACTTTGACAACTTTTTCCTCAATAGCCTCACAGCGCTACAAGCAGAAACTTACAATGCCCAGTGAGTGTCACAGAGCTTCTTTAATTTCACAAGTTTATTTCGGGGTTGTACTTTCTTTAGAAATGCTTTGAATGTAGCATGTGTAGCTGATCCAGAGAGAAAAGTGTGTCGTTTCTCCAGGGTAGTGGGAAAAAATCAGCACATGTTGGTTTCCTTTGCATACCTCAACAATAACTACATTGAGCCTGTGATAGAAACAGGCGGAATGCATCTTCCTGTGAGAGAGACGGCACACCGTAAATCTGGGCGGTACAGTTCTATCAGTGCCACGCTGTGCCCTGTTCTTCAAATACTGAAGGAGAGACTTTGCATCAAGTGACTCAGCAGGCTGGAAACCAAGAAATCTTTTATATATACTGCCATGCAAATAATATCTCAACACAACTGACACTTATTCTACTTAGCTAATTTCTTCAGTTTTGTCAACCGTTCGAGAGAAAACATTAGCCTCTTTCACTTAACTAATGCATTCAAGTACCATTTCTGACACCATGGGAACGATTTCATTCTGTAGTGATGAGCAGTGCATTTTGCCTTGCGTGGTCCACTTTCAATTCTGTTTCTTACCCCATCATTGTATTTGACTATTGGAGTCGAGTGCTCAAGAAGTTGCTCTTGCATAGCTTCTTTCACTCTCATCTTTTCTTCTTTGAGCAATCCCCTGGCCTGCAGTGAGTCCCAGGATAGCTGCCTCAGCTTTGATATACGTGCTGTTCTCTGACACTAAAGCAAAATATGCTTCATCTGATGGAACATCTAGCATCAGATCCTTCATGTCTGAGGCTTCTATGACACCATCTTTGTCGTGTCTCGGGTACAGAGTTCAGCCGTAATACTGGCGGAGCACTCTCCTGCTGACCTTTCCAAAATGAGGCCTATTTCAGAAGTTGCGGGTAGGTCTTGTTGAACTTCAGAGTACTGGTACCCGAAATTGGGCCAGCTAGTGAGCTTAGGGAGGACTAATGACCCACCAGAGTTCGGCAGAAAGCAGCACGTTTATTATACTGATAGCTAAGCTCAAAAGATGGGGGGGGGGGGGGGAATTATGCTCACAGTCGCATACTCACGCTCCCAGGACAGGCCCGGCACTGGAGATGTCAGGATCCTTCCAGGGAAGCGTCCTACAGTGCGGCAATGGGCGGGGCGATGGAGGTCAGTCTTCCCGAGGCATGACAGAATGCAAGGCAGCGAACCATTGGCCAGGCGGTTCGGGCGAAGGGCCTTCACGGGAGGTACAAGCATGTGAGTGCACTCCTGAGCACATGGCCCCTTCCCCTTTTAAAGACCTGCTCCTCATGGCCTGCAACTAGAGAGGACTTGGCTGTGTCTGGTTGGTCAAGCTCCACCTCGGACAGTGTCCATGCAGTGTCCATGCATTGGGTGTGGGATCACTGCCTAATTAGAGTCCCAGACACCTTGTCTACCTGGGAGCTTTTCTGATCTTCCAGCTGTTTAAGCAGCCCATTCATCCCACAAGCATTCCAGGAGGAAGGGGGAGGGGGAAAGCCACTCCACAGGTATTCAAAGAGGGAAAGGAGACAAAAGGGGGGGAAGGTGTAACAGACCTTTTGAACATACAGGTTATACATAGCATACAGATCACTGCTGCTCCTACAAGTACTTGTTTATCTTTGACGCGTTTTGTTTGCTGAAAAGTTCTGAAATTGTCAATGATTGTTTGCTTGACATTTTAAAACACTTTTTTAGCTACTTATATTCAGAAACAGGGGGAAAGGGGGGCTCATAGGCAGGCCAGGCCCCTCTTGCAGGCTACTGTTTTGGACAAATTGGAGAGAGTCCAGCAGAGGTAAATGAAAATGATCAAGGGGCTGAGGCACATGACTTACGAGCAGAGGCTGAGGGAACTGGGCTTGTTTAGTCTGCAGAAGAGAAGAGTGAGCGGGATTTGATAGCAGCCTTCCACTACCTGAAAGGGGGTTCCAAAGAGGATGGAGTGAGGCTGTTCTCAGTGGTGGCAGATGACAGAACAAGGAGCAATGGTCTCAAGTTGCAGTGGGGGAGGTTTAGGTTGGATATTAGGAAACACCGTTTCACTAGGAGGGTGGTTTCAGAGTAACAGCGGTGTTAGTCTATATTTGCAAAAAGAAAAGGAGGACTTGTGGCACCTTAGAGACTAACCAATTTATTTGAGCATAAGCTTTTGTGAGCTTTTTGTGAGGGTGGTGACGCACTGGAATGGGTTACCTAGGGAGGAGGTGGAATCTCCTTCCTTAGAGGTTTTTAAGGCCCGGCTTGACGGAGCCCTGGCTGGGATGATTTAGTTGGGGGTTGGACTAGATGACCTCCTGAGGTCTCTTTCAACCCTAATCTTCTATGATTCTATGACTAATCCAGGCTAGCTTCCTCTTCCTGGCCAAGTCTATGCAGCAGGAAAAAGAAGAGCTGGGGGAGGGTGCGGTGCCAACCCATAGCCTAAGGCAGTGGTTTTAAACCTTTTTTCTTTTGAGGACCTCTACAAAATTTTGAATGGAGGTATGGACCCCTTTGGAAATCTTAGACATAGTCTGCAGACCTCCAGGGCTATCAGAATTCTTTGAGGGTGTCGACAAGCATGTGGACCAGGGTGATCCAGTAGATAGAGCGCACTTGGACTTTCAGGAAGCCTTTGACAAGGTCCCTCACCAAAGGCTCTGAAGCAAAGTAAGATTTTGTTGGGGATCAGTTGGGGATCAGAGGGAAAGTCTTCTCATGGATCAGTAACTGGTTAAAGAACAGGAAACAAAGGGTAGGAATAAATGGTTATTTTTCAGGCTGGAGAGAGGTAAACAGTGGTGTCTCCCAAGGATCTCTACTTGGACCAGTGCTATTCAACATATTCATAAAGCAGACTGCAAAGAGTTGCTAAGGGATCTCTTTAACTGGGTTCCTGGGCGACAAAAGGCGGATGAAATTCAATGTTGATAAATGCAAAGTAATGCACATTGCAATACATCATCCCCTACACAGCGGTGGGGTCTGAATGAGCTGTCTCCGCTCAAGAACCGAGACCTTGGCGTCCCCGCGGATAGTTCTCGGGAAACGTCCACTCAGTGGCCAGCGGCCGTCAAAGAAGCGAAGAGCAGGCTGGGGATCGTGAAGAAAGGGATGGAGAATAAGACAGAACATATCCCACGGGCTCTCTATAAACCCAGGGCGCGCCCACCCGTCAGCCGCAGCCTGCGGGGCCCGTCTCGGAAAGGAGACAGGGCACGGGGCAGGCTGCAGAGCCGGGAGCCCCCCGGAGGCGGGGTGCGGACAGGGTCAGCTCCAGGGGTTTTCAGCTCCAAGCAAAAAAAGAAGAAAAGGGGGGGGTGGCCGGAACGCGGCCCGGGAATTGCGCGCCCGAGCAGGGGCTCGCGGGCTGGTGGCGGGAGCCGGGCTGGGGGCGGAGCAGCGGGAGAGGAGCCGACCCGGCGGCGAGGGTAGAGGCACCGCGCCGGGCGGCCTGCGGAACTCCCTGCCGCGGGACTCCCGCTCGGGGCGGGGCTGCCGGCGGCGCGCGCGGCGGGCGGGGCGGGAGGAGGTGACGGGCCCGCGCGTCACGGGGCGGGGCCTGCGCGGTCCCCGCCCCTTAAGGGGGAGGCGGGGCGCGAGCGGGGCCTGGTGTCGGCCGTTCGCA